ATTACTTTAGCATTATTTAACAATTATTTGATAAACTTAGATTTAATAAATGATTTACTCGAGTATGACTTGAATATCAATATTATATGTATGATTAAGTGAACCTTAAGACTTTTTGTATTCGATGAAATTTTTTAAATGCCTTTTTTTGTTACGTGTATATGGACATATAATTTATCTTAATTTTTTAATTTAGATATTAAAATTAGCTTTGAGATTAAAAACACAAAGAAAACAATAGAAAAATGGATTGCTACAGACATATATGACATTTGAAAACCAGAAAATTAATTAAACTTGAAATGTTTTCACATAAATATACATCATATGTATTATAGATATAGCAATACTAGTGCTGCCAGGTGCAATCTGACACTTCCATCACTCAGAACGTTTTGTCATTCGAGCGCGAATTGTTTTGTTTACAGTGACTTGAAAAATTCATCTCGGTCAAAAAATGGAATTGTCCCGTGAAAATTTTCGTGCGATGATTTTTTACGATTTTCGGCGCGGATTATCGAGACAAGAGTGTCTCGATCAACTTGTTTCGACTTTTGGTGATGAAGCACCATCAAAACCACTGTAAATCGCTGGTACCAAGAGTTTGGTTTCGGACGCCGTTCGCTCCAGGATGAATTTCGTGAAGGTCGGCCAATTTCGGTCGTTTTGCCGGAAACCATCGATGCTGTGCGCGAAATGATAATGATGGACCGGCATGTGACATACTGTGAGATTGAGGCATCCTTGGGCATTAGTTCCACCAGCGTACATAAGATATTGCATGAACATCTTGCCGTGAAAAAGGTGTGTTGTCGATGGATCCCAAAAAATTTGACGATTGCACAAAAGAAGGCTCGTGTCGATTGGAGCAAAGAAATGTTGAAAAAATTCAATCGCGGTGCGTCAAAAGACGTTTATAAGATAGTCACAGGTGATGAATCATGGATCTATGCATATGAGCCCGAAACGAAACAGCAATCGACCGTATGGGTGTTCCAAGACGAGCCAAATCCAACAAAAGTTGTTCGTGGAAGAAGCACATCGAAGCAAATGATCGCGTTTTTTTTTGGTATAACCGGTCATGTGGCCACAGTACCTTTAGTGGAACGTAGGACGGTCAATTCTGAATGGTACACCACCATCTGTTTGCCGAAAGTTTTCGAAGAAATAAGGAAAACAAACAAGCGCCGGCGAATCATTCTTCATCATGACAATGCAAGCTCTCACAAATCAGCTGAAACAATGGACTATTTGAGCACTCAAAATGTCGAATTGATGGGTCATCCGCCGTACAGTCCTAATTTAGCACCCAATGACTTCTTCTTATTCCCTCACATCAAAAAAAAAATGCGTGGACAACGATTTTCAACACCTGAAGAAGCAGTCGATGCGTTCAAAAACCATGTTTTGGAGGTGTCTCAATCGGAGTGGAAAAAGTGCTACGAAAATTGGTTTCAGCGCATGCAAAAGTGTATTGATCTTCATGGGTAATATTTTGAAAAACAATAAAACCTTTTCCAATGATAAATGTTTGTTTTTTATTGCTAGACCCGAAATATAAATAGTGATTCTCGTACACGTCCCCTTAAAATTATAATTATTTATACACAACGCTCTTGTTAAATTTATGCACAACTTTAAATGAAATTTTTTTAGAATTGAATTGAAAATTTCGTGATGTTCTAAATTTTTTAAAGGATTTTTTTAAAATAAATGTTTATTTTAAAAGGAACAGAATTTTAAATTTAGAAATTGTTAAATGTAAGATTTAAAGTTTTTATTCGTTATTCACTTAGCACGAAAAGTAAAAAGCAAAGAGAAAATTTGAAATTTACTACAACCATTACTTTGCTTGAGTCAAATACTAAATAAATTTAAGATCCTATTTGTATATTGAATCTTATACAAATTTTCCAAAATTATTGTAATAAGTTGCAAAAATTGAAGATAAATGAACTTAAAAAATTATAATAGTAAATTTAATTTTAATTACATTTTATTAATTCTTACATTTGCAATAAATTATCAATTCAATGACTCACTTATTAACATAATGAAGGTGTTAACAATTCTTCTATACTGTTGCTTTTTGAATATTACCTTATTTAAGTTATATATATATAGCAAACAATATACTAACGTAAGCAGCTAGTTAATAAATATTATATTGTAATTCTTAATAATATTAGCATTATTAAGGTAAATAATGTAGAATTAAACAAATAATAATAGAGATATTCAAATGTAAATATTTAAAACTCCTTGAGCAATCAAAACAAAATGATTCGATAATTTATTTATTTAATATAACCGATTAATTATAATTAATTCAATATTTTAAGTTAAATAATGTATTATATAATATTTTGATATGAAATATATAATATGTAGGTGATATTACAAAGAATTAGCAAATTTTTAATTTCATTTTATGGCATTTCAATTATAACCATAAAAGGTTAATCTATATTAAAGGAACAATTTAAAATTTTTGAATTCATGAAAACTGAAAAATATTTTTATAACAATTTTTAATTTTTGAAAATTTTAAATTAAATTAAATAAAATGGAAGAGCCTTGATCTTTTTCCAAAAAAATATTTTCTTAAAGACTTTCGCTCTACTTTTTTTTTAGGAATTTCGAGTTTAAGATATTTTAATTAAATGCATGCCTTCTGCACAAATTCCCAATATGATTAAAAGCTACTTATTTTGAAATTTTTAAATAAAGAGTATTTTTTGGTTTGAAAAGGGCGAAAATTTGAAACAAACTGTTTTGAAATAAAATTAAAATGATATTGTAATAAAATATAAAATATTAATCTAATGGAATATAAAAGACATGAATTTAAGGGTATTTACAATTTTCGAAATTTTTATTTTATTAATAATTCTGATTTTAATGGACCTAAGCACATTTTTTTTTTGTTTTAAAAATTCCAAATAAAAAACTAAAACAAGAATGCAATTTTCATTATATTATAGTTGTTATAATTAATTATTTCTATATATATATATCGATTAAGGTCTATGCATTTTTTACATAAAAAATTATTACATTTTTTGGAAATAAAAAACAAAACATAAAGTATAGCTACAATTGCGAGGTGATTATTTACCAAAAGCTTATACAAAAGTTTTGTTTAAATTCAAATAAATCTCATTAAGTACAACGGGGCAATAAGGCAACATATACGCTAGAAAACTTTTAATTTTAGCTAGTTGTAATATGTAAGTATGTAATGTATAAAACATTGTAGAGTATAAGTATAACAAACGCAACATTATACAATTTTTTTCCTTTTTTTTATCAACTTATTCAGAAATTGTATTCAAAACGTAAAAAACTGAAAGAAAAATTTCATGAAAAAATAAATACACTTACTTACACTTAAAAAAATTAACTTTTTTTATTTAACAAAAACAAAAATCATAAAAAATAGTAAAACAAAAAAAACAAATTTTTTTTAAGAGCTTTAAAAGTTGAAACGTAAATTAAAGCCATTAAAAGTGTCGAAAAATGTGTTCAACTTTATACGTTCAAATTAAATGAATCCTTCTTTTTTTGTTATGTCCTTTTTTTTTTTTGTATATTATCTCTTTTTTTTTAGTATATTTACTTTAAGATAATAAAAACCTTAAAAGAAAAAAAATACAAAAAAGGTAAAATAAAAAAATTTTAAAAATATTTTCCACCAGATTTTCTTATTTTAATGCAATATTAATGCTTTTTAAGCATAACTTTTGCTTCTGTTCTACTCTAAAGTCACAGCATAGGTGAGATAGAAAATCACTTTATATAAGTACAATATAGGTAGTAAGGTTTTTTTTTATAAATAAAAAGCGCCGAACCTGAAAAACAAAAAAAAAATTATGAAAATACTTTTATCCTTAAAGTTTTGTGTTGTGTTTTTTACTCAAGCATATCTTTGTACTCTGGCACACATACACTCATATACATAATCTGTATGGAATATTTTCATATTGTACAGTAAAAATATAAGTACATTTTGCATTTTTCATATTATTAAATCCATTATAAATAATATTGTTCACATTATATAAAAAATTGAACTATATACCAATCTTTAAACTAAATACGAACTCATTCTACTTTGCAATATTATTATGTGGATATGTGAACGCATAATAAGTAAAATATAAATTAATTCAGAGCGCAACGTAAAACACTAAAGGACCATTAACAAACAATACAAATACTTTTCAATTGTATAGGTAACATACTCATATTTATACGTGCTTGACGATATTATTTAAATGGTTTTGAAAATATTTTATTGTTTGAAAGTACATCGAATTTGAAAGCAGATATTCAATTGAGAATAAAGCTAGATACTTTAAAACAGTCGAAAACTAATACTAATTCAAAAATTGAAATTGCTTTAAAATATTGAATAAACCAAGATTTTGTCTCTTGAACATAACTGAAGTTCTTTTAACTCAAGATAAAGTATATTGTGCACGATTAATTTAAGCAAAACTAAATTTTTAATTATTAAGATAATTTTTTTATACTACATATTTGATTAAGTAATTTTAAATTTTAGACTACGTTCTAATTTTCAGCTTTGTTCATAATTTTAACGTTCTGTAGCTCTTTAATGTACAACATTATGGCATGATTTATTAATGTTGAAACAATTAAGCTGAGAATCAAATTCCTGCTTAAAATTTATTTTGAAGGAATTAATTTATTTATTCTTATTTTAGAAATAGAAAAAATTTAAATAGAAAAAAAATATTTGTAGTTATTATAATATGATCAATTATTTACATACATAGGTAAGAAGAAACTATAGTATATTTGGGAATGATTCGAAATCTTTAAAAAATTTTAGTTTTATTCGATAAAAATGCTACTACTCGCAAATAACAAGTAAGTAAATTTTAATAAATATTTAGTTTTATATTATATACATAGGTAATTAAATTATATTCTTAGTGAAATCGCAATAATATCATCTCCCCTACAAATTGTACCAGTTCATCAAGGGTTGGAGGTTTGGATTGTGCCAAGTGTAATGAGGAGATTTGGACTGCATCTGGTGATTGTTGTCTGACACAATATCCTTGTGGTTTCCAATTTATTTTTTCCCGTAACTACAATTTGTATAAAGTTTAATAATCAAATATTGATATAGTTGAGAGCAGTTTTCTGATGAAAATTTACAAATTTTAAGACTAGAAGTTTTTAAAAGCTTGCTACACAATTACACGCAGTAAGCTATAAGTATGTCTTTCTTTTGGAATGGCGTTGCAAAGGCTTTTATTAATAAAATATTTGAGGGTCTCAGAAGCAGAGTGGCGTAAGCCACATATAAAAAAAATTTTTTTTTTGCTGCAATCGGTTATGTACATCTTCTAAAATCAGTAATATACAGTTTCCATGTTCGAAATAGCTTTTTTCCTATTTATTTTTCAGAAAAGTATTTTTGCTTTTGTAGAAATTTTCTGATTTTGTAAAAATTTTTCGAATTTTCAAAAGCAAAGTGGCAAAACCGACATTGTGGCTTACGCCACTCTGCTTCTGAGCCCCTCATTTATAATTTATATAAAATTATTTCCTATATTTACAATTAATACTTTTGAAATAAAAGAAATAACCACAATGTCTTAGAATATAATATAAGAGAATTCTACAAATTGTTGTCTCTGTCTAATTTCTTTTATTTTAATTTGTCGTATATTAAAAATATAATTTATTTAAAACTCATGCTGTAATCTTTACTATCATTGAAGTATAAAACCTACGTACAACATTATTATGACGAGATTTATTTTGAAAAATTAATATGGAAACATTTTTACGTTAAAAAATGCAAGTGTAATAAAAATTTTTATTAAGCGAATATACATTTTTCTCCCTTTCTCTGTGTACATTCAATGATCATATGGTAATAAAATACTTACATATATTGTATGTACATTACATGTGTAAAAATGTAAAATTCCTGATTCATGATGACTATTATAATGGTTACTGTTCACATTATTTTCTTTTTTATCATTATTTTAACTTATAACAGTACAATAATATCATATTTTTATATTATATATATATGTAAGTATATTGCTACATTATTATTATTGTTATTAAAATAGCCTTGCTTCAGCATTATATCATATAGGAATATTATTTAACATGACAAATGGAGAAAATTCTGATTTTTTTTCCTATGCGTGAATGTTACGATAATATGAAATGGTGAGGTAAAATCTTTTCATCTTATTGAGTTTTCCATACGTTCTGCAAAAAAATGTCAGTTTTCGTTGTGTCCCGCATGTTTTACATATTACATTTGAATTCGCAAACGAATCATTTATGATTTTTACCCCCTCCTAGATATATTTTGTGAATTTACTCAAATGCATGGTGTGATTGTATTTACAATATTTTCGCGTATTCATGTATATATACTGATCTGAATATTAAAAACATTATAAATGAAAACTACTAATATCTACATAAGATGTACATTTGTGTGTATACAATTATACATATATATATTATATTTATGTATATCTGCGAATGCAAAATATGGGACGTCAAAATAATAAGGAAAAATCAATGAGTGTTCCCTGTGCAAAAGGTGGTGATAAAAAAAATAAAGGAAAATAAAAAAATAAGAGAAAAAAAAAATTGTAGGTCATAAACGCTCAACATTTTCGCATTAAAATCATAAAATTTTACAACCAAAGGGAAATTTATGTGAACATGTTTATCTTATAAGTTTGTATGCATGTTGATTTAAAATGAGTGATTTTTTATTTTGTTTAACACCACATACGATTCATTCTGTATACCGATGTCTTTTTCTTTATCTGCATGTCCTTTTTTCTTTGATGCCTTTTATTTTTCATATACTCAGCAATACAAAATTTTTTCAGAAAAAAAAAAAAGATTTTTTAAGAGATTTTTGCGATTTTCATGATCAGATATGTGTGTGAAATTATAAGCACTTTAAACTTTATAATGCATATAGGAAAAAAATAATGTTAAAAGCAATCAATGCACGGGGCTATATTAAATTTGAGAGGATAAGAATTGATTGAAAATCAGAAATAAGAAAAAATTGAGTTGCACTTTGCTATAACAATCTATAAACAATTTTTAAGACATTTATATAGGTTAGTAAATATAAATAATGATAAAATGGCCACGAGGAGAACATGAGAGTTACTGTAACCCATTTAAAACATAAGCATTTAAAACAAGTTTTTATGTTCGCATAAAAACTTGTTTTAAATGCTTAAAATTTTCATATACGTTGAATATTTTATTATTTTAGTTTTATATTTATACATCACATTAAAAATTACGCAATACTGAAATTTGTAGCTAATGGTAATTAAAATCGAAATATTTTGAAGAGTTTATAGGGGGCTACCTATGCACACAATATTATAAACTTAAATTTATTTTTATAATCTCAAAATAATTTTTTTTGTAGCAAAAAGGTCAAATTTTCCTATAAGAACGCAACACTATCAATAAAATTATAATATATTAGCAAACACACATGTTACTGTGTGTAATAATATTTTGTATCTTATATTATTTTGCATATAATACAAACAAGTAGAATATTATATGTGAACATAAAATTCCATCAAAAAGATACAAAATAAGATTAAGGATATTTTTTATTTTCCATTATTATTTTTAAATCTTGTTTTATTAAATATTGTTTTATTTTATACCTTGCAGATCTATACATTTATAATTGTTTGCACAGATGTGTAAGTGTTTAACAGCGATGAATACGAAGAATATTTACAAGATATCTTATAAATTTACATATATTATGATATATTCACAATGAAGCCCATTTAAAAAGACGCTTATTCATTTAGCTGTACTTGCATTTACTAAAATTCTTGTTTTGGTCATTTTTTGTTAGGAATATTTTGTATTCGCCTTGTGAAAATAAAGACATCCAGTTATTCGCCAAACCAATTTTAGTTTAAGTAATAAATAAGTGTTTACTAGGTAAACAACATGGCCTACTGGCAACTGCCAAATTAAATATTTAACGACTATCACCTCAATCAAACATTAATTGAGAATATAAGAATCGAAAATCAATGTATCGAACTCAGTAAATTTTTTTCACGAACCCCAAGAGTTGCGCCAAATATTCTTCCGATATAACTCCTTTTTCATCCCTGCAAGGGTGCCACATTACTATATTACACACATTAATATAATTGTGTAATAGTATAATTGTGTTATAGTATAATAAGTCTAATATCTAAACACATACACAATGTTCTATTTATTCCACATAGAAACAAAACTTTACGAATTTAATTTTTAATTAAATTTTCATATAATTTTATTAAACGATTTAAAATATAAAATAAAATTTTAATTTCTAAAACTACATCATGCAAAACAAAAGACCTTGAAAATAATACATAAAATGTACTTCATGGTTGTGTAGAACCATTTAATAATATGCTTGAAGAATGCAGTTGAACATTTCGAGTTTAAAATGTTTTAAACCATACGGAAACAAAAAGGAAATTTAATTTTTTTGTTTTCTAGAATTGTTTCCTTCACTTTTGAAATTTTAAAACATTAATTTTCATATTAGTCATAATTTGCGATTGGGTAAATTTTTCTATTTCATAGAAATTTAATTTTTTTTTGTATTTTGTACAGGGTTTTTTTTATTTAATTTAATTATTGTTTAACAATGCAATAATTTAATATTAGAAAATTAATTACATTGTTATGAAATTCTAATTTTCTAATGCTTGGGTGTGTTTTGTTTAAATTATAAAATTTTATCAAGTAATTGATGTATAGAATGTGCTTTATTTTTTTGTTTCAACTGAACTGATCATCTAACAGGACATTATATTAGAATTAGAAATAAAAAATTTATTAAGCAAATTATGTTAAAATTACTTATTCAAGTATTCAAGTATTTAAGTAACAAATATAAGAAAATCCTCATAAATTTTATGAATTACAATTCTGCACCAGCATAAAGATTCTATTAACAAAAAAGTCTTACACAATATATAAAGATAAAATTTCTTTCAAAGTTCCGTACCCAAATCATGTATTTAAATTCAAGAATGGTTGTTCCTATTCTTAATTTAAAACAATTTAAAATTTTTCCAATTTAGTTACACTCTATAGTCAGCCAAACGCAACTCTAATAAGAAAATACAATAACACTAATAATGATAAAAGTAATAATAATAATAGACAACACAAAATAGCCGTAACAAGTGATTTTATTGAACAAAAAAATACAAAAAAAAATAACCTTTTTTCTCATATTTTTTACCATTTTCTTTATGGATTAAATATAACTTTCTTTTCATCCTCTTCTACTCTTAACTATCCAAATCATTTAATATTACAAAGCAAATGAGCATAAAATGAACGTTTATGCAAATTAGATATGATATTGCAGAAATCAACAAAGGAAAAACAAAAATAAAAAAACAAAAATGTACAAAAAGGATAACCAAAACAAAAAATAAAAAAAAAAAGAATTGGATAATAAGGAAAACATTTATTTTGTCTCTATTTTCTTCTTTTTCTGTGTATCTAAAAGATAGGGAGAGAGAAATAAGAGTTTACATTCTATATATAGATTATTTTCGAATGCTTAACGTGTAAATATATAGAAAAGCTTCGATTATTGCATTTAAAAAAAAAATTTAATATTTTTTCTATTACATTTCAATAATAATTTTTGTCTTTTAAGCAAAATTCACATAAAATGTACACATATATGTATACACAGCAGCGGATCTACTGTATATGCAAAATAAGCAATTGCAACAGGCATAAAAAAAAGAGGGCGCTATTGAAAACCTTAAAAAATTTAAAAAACTTTAAAAATTAAATTTTAACAAATAAAAGTTTTTTTCAAATTTTTTCCATTTTGTGTTTTTAAAAAATGTTTTCTATTTACAGCGTGATTAACATGACAAGCTCGTTCCTATATACCAACATTGCAAAACAACGATGTGAAAGTTTAACACTAGGCTTTAACTCCATTACTAATCTTTTATTCAGCATAATAAAGTTGCATGAAAGTAACATATTATGCGCAAAATGCAATTTTTATTGCATATTGTTAATTGATATGAAAGTGAAAGCAAGGGGCAGGGCACACTTTCTAGGAAACCATGTAGGGCGCCAAATAAATCAGATCCTGGTCTGTGTTAACATCATACATTTTCTTTTCAATCTATGCGCATAACTTATTAATACTATGTATGTATGCATATATGGTATGCAATAAAATAATAATATTATGGCACTGGAATAGCACTGGAATAATATTATGGTATACACTAGACACATACATTCATGTAATTAAATTAGTTTTCAAACAGCAATCGATTGGTTTAATTTTTGAAAATTTTCTTATTCAATAATTTTGTATACAATGCACTTGTAAAATTTAATTATGGAAACTATTTTCTATAAAGAATATTATTAAAGTTATTACTCGACTCACACCACTGAATGTAAACTGTTAGATAAAGCAGGTAAATTAGCATAATAATTTTGTTTGTAGAACGATTTTTATAAAATTTGATATCAACATAACGCCTTACTCATGCTTTATAGAATACCTTTTAGATACTTCCGTTTTATAGGAATAATAATAATAAGAATCACCTCTGAAAGAATGAATTGCTTAAAAATTGTAAAATCAAGAGGAAACAGAAGTGTTATAATTTTTTTTATATCCAAAACAAGTCACTTCAAACCTAATTTAATATAGATAATGTGATAATGCTGTATTTCGTCATGATCTGGTTTGTTATTTAGAATGTAGTAAAATTGCATACTTTTAGGTAATTTGTTAATATTTCGTAACATTGAAATATACAAAGTATTTATTCAAATAATCCTTTCTCTATAGTAGTATATAAACAATAATATTATTGAAAAAATTTCATATAGACAAAACTTCTCATTTTTAAAATTTTCCATGTTTTCCACAATTACTCCAATTTTGAAATATAAATAAATGAATTTATGCATTACATTTCTATCTATAGCTATGTATATATTTTTTTATAAATCGCAAATATTATATTTTTGTTATATACATTAAACATAAGTATATAGAAAATAAATGATCCTGAATTTATTAAGATTTCTAAACACAGTTATTATTCAACATAGTTTTATGAAAAAAAAAATGCAAAAATATTAAAAAATTTATTGCAATTTTTATAGAAGTTTAAAAAATGTAAACACACACATTTAAGTTTTATATTAATATACTACAAGGATATAATGTAAACTTAATGTGTAATATAGAAGAAAGGAGCGTATGTGTAAATAAAATTCTGGACAATAAAGGTTAAAAATGCATGTTCATCTTCTATTTTTATCTCTTAGTTAGCTAGTCATGTTTTTGCTTCCGTTTTAGAATTTAAAAAGTTCAGTATGGGAAACAAAAAAATACAAAATGCTCATTTTTATCATTCTTTGTATTGCATATGAAGGAAGCAATCTAGAAAAATGCATTACCATGCAGAAAAATTACATCATGTATTATTTTTCATTGTTCTGAAGTCTTGCATCAAGTTTAACTATACAAAAAAGTTCATTCATAGTTTTTGTATATACTTGCCTTTTTTTTTATTTATTTAAATATTGTTCTCATTTTGTTCTTTAATAAAAAAATATATGTGTTTTTCTGTAAGTTTTTTATACTTTGTGCTATAAAAAAATAATAAGAAAAAAATCATTAGTCGTTTTTCACTTACTCTTGCCTTGTACTGTACGTACGTTTTTTGTTTAACCAAAGAGTTTTAAAACTAGAATCAAAAAAAAAATTCTTGTTTTTCAGGGTTTTTTTTATTTTTGTAGAAGGTATTTGTCCTGCTTGTTGCTGTTTTTGTTTTGACTTTGTTACAGTAATGCCTTCCTATGTTTCCGTACTTTTTAATTTTTTTGTATTCCTTCATATTACCTACTTTTTTTTTATATCTGTTTAACTTGTAATTTCAGATGCGTTGCACGTTTTCAAAATTGCATGTTTCATTTTCTTTGGTTGGTTGTTTTTTTTTTTTTAAATATGTATATGTATATAAACTAATATTATTTTACTTTAATGCGAAAATATGAATGAAGAAATAAAAAGAGTTTAAGAGAAGCAAAAATTGTTTATTTTCATGAAAAAGTTTTATTGTCTTGCACTACTGAAGAAAAAAATTTAGAATCTTTTTTTCTTTAATTTTTTATTCAATGTAGTGAAATTGCTTGTACTCTATAAACCTAGTATGTATAAAATAATATTTTGCAAAATTTTTCAAGCTTGGAAGCTTGCCATTTTTTTTTTGATTTTCTTCTTTGTAACTTCTTAGTCAAATTTAACGATTTTTAAAATTTTAGGTTGTTCTGTCCAATTGAAATTCTTATGGAATATTATTAATTGCTAAAATAACATATTGACGTTAATATAATGCTTTTTGAATAATAATGTACAAACATACTGAAAGTCAATATAATGGCTTGAATAATATTATGCTATGAAAATAAGAATTATAAGATGTTACGGCTCAGTATAAGTTATTAAATTCATAAAATTCTGCATCTAAAATTAATTATCGATTTTAATAGACATAGTATCATTCACAAGTTTGATTTTAAATGAGATTTTCAAGCAAAAGGTCGAAAATATTCACCTGTAATCAATATAATCTTATTTCTTAACTTTCATTTTGTTGAGATTTTATTCAGAATAAGAAAAACATAGATGAGTTCTCCAAGATTACAAATTTAATTGACTCAAATTTCAATGAAATATAAATATGTTCGATTAAAAATTTTAGGAAGTAGCTTTTATATATTTAATATAATTTGTTAAGCCTTTAATTTTGTATTGAAATGAGTGAACAATTCTAATAAAATATATTTGAACAAAAATTTTATTATACTAAATGCAATAAATTACCTACTACAATTATATTGAATTGCTGTACATATAAACTAATTATGCTTAATTTCCAACTTTGTAATACTCTTGAAGTGCAAAATAGCAAACCGCATACGTAAGTAATAAAAAATTCAGAATTTCCAAATTCGTATCAGGAGTACAATAATGAGAAAATTAATCTTATATTTTACAAAATCCGGAATATTTCTTTTGTAATTAATATTCTTCGTTCAAAATTAATATTAAACAATATGACGTCATTACCCATGTCCAGACAATATGAGTAAAATTTGTAAAATATGTAATGTGACAAAAAATTTTATGTCAGTTTTTATTAAAGATTAAATAAAAGCCTGAAATTATCTTAAAATTTTGTTATCAACATTATTATTGATATGAAATTCTGTATTCAACATATTTTGCAGAGCGAATCGTTACTATGTTGTCACATAAGATGCACTGTTTACATTAAGACAACTTTTGATAACAACAAATCAGTTGTTTGACTTGTTTTTACTTCTTGATGGTTATTATAACATTTTCATTCCCCTTTCTGTTTTAATAAATCACAAAATTTTATTTTTTATTTAAAAAAGAAAGAAGATTAAAGAAAAAACAAAAACTACAACAGATTTAAAAGCTTAAAATTAAAACAAAGAGTGTTTATAAAAAAAATGTTATGCAGAATTATGCATAAGTGCAAAATGTTTTATAAATTGCGAAAACATTTTTTTTTATTATTTTCAAACTTGCAATAACAATACGTGCCATAATAATATGAAAAACTGTCAACCGGATCCAGGGAATAAAAAAGGAATGAAAACCTATTTAACATTTTTTAAATTTTTTATCCATTTATATAGTAACTTAAGTATAGGGGGAACAAAATAACAACAACAAGGAAAACATTTCTTTGTAAACAAAGTTAAATTAATCTGTGATCAGCGCCTTTACTATCACTATCATTAGCAACATGCTATCACCATCATCATTATCATCAGTATTATTATCAATATAATAAGTTTCACCATTGTTATCATTATCATCATCATCATTATTTTTAAAAAATGTTAAACCAGTATATAAGATAAAAGCATTGTCCACTCTTAGTCAAAATGAGAGCTTTATATGTACATAGTTTTGCATTGTATATAAGTGAGAAAATAATCCCTATATATACATACATATATTTATATGAAAATACTTTTAATTGCATAAACTTGAAGCCAGAATTCCGGAAATAGGACATTAAAAGTGATTTAGTGTTACAAGTATGCATATTTGATGTCATTTGTAGACTGAATTAACGTCACTTCAAAAATATACTCGCATAAAATACACCATAAAATTTTTAAATACTGTTCTCGTAAGTTTTTTTCCATGTTTTTGCTCTACTTTATAACATATATTTATACCATTATATAAATAAATCGAAATTATATTTGAGTTTAGGATAAAACAGAAATGCGATCAAAATATAAAATAGCCGAGAATATGAAAATAAAAAAAAAGGCAAATACTTTAGCAAATGAAATCAATTAAAATTCTGACTCTTAAGTTGACTAGTTTTTTTCTCTTAAATCATGAAAAAAAACAAAGATTCTAACTATTAATTTAGTGTTTTTAAAGTTAGAACTTATTTGATTTTTACCGTTTCTGATATTTACGGTGAATATACGGTGAAAAGTTTATTCATTCAATAAATTAAATCTGCATATAATACTTTTATATTAAATGTCAGTTAGAAGTATTATCTACGTTAATTTCCAAAGTTTACCAAAGCTGTTATTTTATTACTCCGATGGTAATACAAACCGTTGTGAGAAAATAAGTGCTTAATGTATATTAGAAATTCTGATTAATCAAATAATTGCGGAATTCTATTTGTAATCAATTTTCCAAAAAAAGAATTTTCTATGGCACACTTTCATGTTGTTTATTGATTGACAAAAACAGATTTTATAAATTTTTAATATATTTGGAAACTTCTTTCAAAGAGACCTTTTGAAATCTCCATTTTAACAATTATTCAAAATATCTAAATAAGTGCGATATTTCGAAGATTGATTTAAGATGGAATTGTTATTAAAATCTGGAATTTGATATTTTTGAACATATTTAAGGCTTTTGATTACTGTCGTAAGAAAAATTACGTTAACAACTTTCGTTTCCGATTCTTTTAAATTAAGTATAATTTTCAATATTCCTCATTATAAACAGAATACGGAATAACTTAATATTGAAGCTATAGGTTTTCAGTTAGTATAAGAAAATTCCAGAATTTCATCCGATTTAATTTATCTGACCAAATTGAGAAATGGCGTTCAAGCAAGTGTAACAATACTATTTCGATGATATATGAATATGTACATGATTATTTGATAAAAGGATTTTGTGTTTAAATATTTGAAATATATTTTAATTTTTAAATTAAAATCATGACTTATAAAATAAACGATTAAAATCGATTTATTTTCTTAAGCCCAAATATTTTTCTTATTTTAATTTCATTTTTTTTTCTCTTTTCTGTCAATAATGTTTTTTTTCGATCATAAAAACCACTTAATAATTAATTACCTTATATAATAGAGAATAACTGTGTGCAGAATTATATTTCATTTAGGGGTATGTATAATATTATTACAAAATATTGAAAATTTCATTTATGCTTCTTAAGGACATAATAATTCATATTCGTTTTGTCATAGTACATACGTACATACATATACATGCATATTTTATATTAGGTAGAGCATTAATACAGCGACACTACTTGTTTAAGCAAAAAAAATTTTTCTCTCATGACAAAAACTAGATTCACAATGAAAATTTTGTTTTTTCTTTTTTAAACGCCTTCAGTAAATGACTAATTGCTATTTCAAAAAGTAAAAAAAAATCTATAAAAAAAAACTAAACAGGAAGAGAAATTGCAGCAAAGAGATAATAATAAAAAGTAATAACAAAAAAAATAAATAAACGATAAAGAGATGTTCATTCACTTGTGTTTGTGTAATACGCTTTCGATATAGTTGTATTTAAGCTGAGTATTAAATTATTATTACATTAAATATGCTACCAATAAAAAAATTCCTTATATATAATCATATAACAATATTAAAATAGATGCGATAGGGATTCAATGTGATGCAATCATAAACTTCATTGAAAAATAACTTAAGAAACTCATATAGAAATAAATTTGAACCCCAATTAAATTAATAATTCATCAAATTTTATGTGATCTAGCACGTTATAATATAATCATTTAATTGCATAAATTTCCTTTTACTTTCTCGATGGTACTTTATATGTATATAAATTTTGCTTTTGTATTTGTTAGTCGTTTAGTTAAGGGAAATTGCAAATTGTAGATGATGCTTTAGATAAAGTTTTCGATGATTTTATTGTAGTTATAAGAGAACGTGTAACAAATATCCTTCGTTATCCTGAATTTAAAATTTGTTGTATCTACGGTAAAAATGGCATGAAGAACGTTTATATATTTTATATTACAATAGATGTGTTGAAGTAAAATTCAAGAACGAAATAATCAAAATCATTTAAAAGAAAGTTCATCTTCAATATTATTTTTGAAATAATTATTCAACAAAATGAAAAAGAAAATAATTTTAACTTCCATTTAAAATAAATTAGAGATAAATATTTAACTTTTTTAACTACATATATAAAAGATAAATATATATATGATATTTTATTTCCATAATATTTTCACTCTAATAAATCATTTTTTCCCTTAACATTCAGATTTACTTTAGGTGGCAAGAAAAAGTTACGTATTGCGTAGATTAAAACAGCAACAAGCAATTCCTTAAATCTAGTAATTAAAAAAATAATCTAAATAATGTAAAACATCTATTTCTATATTATAATCAGTTTCAGATATAGCTAGCTTTACATTTTAACATTTCACCTATTTCTTATGAATTTACGTCCTATACTTGTTATATAGTCATCGTGAACTACTTGATCATTTAAATATTTAATGTAATTTTCATACTTACATTCTAAATATATTTAGATTTGCATTTGACCATCAATGATTTACCTGAAATAAATAAAAAAAGCATTATTACTTTTGTATTTGGCATTAAGCGTTTGTTAGATTTTGGTATTAAGTATTGCTTATAAAGAAAATTATGACTTACAAAAAAAACTTTATTTCAGAAACTCGTCACTCACGTCGTAATAATTCGGCATTGGAGCTCGAACATATTTTGAATATGATTTACTTTTAAATATCCATTCCCTTAATTATTAAATAAAGTTGTTATACATTGTGTCGCACATACATACGAGTATGTACATTTTATACAAATTTTCAATTCGTTTTCAACTTGAAAATTTAATTGAGCATACATTAAGCGTTTTTCTACCATTCCATATAATATTTTTTTTTTCATATACAAAAATATTTTTATCATCATGAAATGTACAAAGAAAGACGTCGAAATTTTTTGGAAAACTTTTTAATGTAATTATTAGTTTTAGTGTTCATATTATAAAAAAAACAAAATAAATAAATAAAATCATGTTGCTATATAGTAGACCTTATAAAAAAAATGAAAGAATAATAAGCAATTTGTGGTAAATTTTTGAATATAAATTCAACAGTGGCAACCAGTTTTAAAAACTTTTTTTGCAGCCAACTTGAAAAATTTATACTTTTGTAGAGGTTCAGTTTATTTTTTTTTAATATTTTTTTTTTGAAGAGGAAAACTATAGAAAATTTCTTATTTTTATTTTTTTTATTTTTTTTTTTGGTGCAGCATAAATAAAAATATACCATCCACTTAAATTAAGTTTTCGATGATTTATTTTCGCAAATGGGTTGGTTATTTTGTACGTATGCATTCTTTTCATATATGCATGTGCCCTTAACTAAAAAAAAACTGTTTTTGAATTTTTTAAAGTAATTATAAAAAAATAACAAAAAAAAAATTTAAATGTAATATGATGCAAAAGAAAATTTAATTTTTTTTTGTCTTATTAAAGGTTCTATTTTTACTTGCCGGTAAAAATACCGGTAAGGTAATTTGTGTTAAAAAAAAAATAAAATAAGAAATTGAAATTGGTGTTTTCCATTTGTGTGAGCTTCAAACTGCGTGTAGAACAAGAGTGTATAGTAATTTTGTACTATCCGTATAAATATTAACTCGAACCTTTATATGGTTTAAAAACACGTTCTGCACGTACTCTACCTTCAATATATTATAAAACTAGTACGTATTCATAGTTTGTAAATAATGATTAATGTACTCGCATTTCAGAAATCTTAACAAATTGTTAAAAATTTCGGCTCTTAATTAAGGGATTTGAAAGGATAAGGAAAATTTTTTTTGGTACTATGGCAATAATTTCGACTTAAACAAAAAGTTGTTTTAACGTATTTACAATTTTAATTTCAAGTTTACAAAAAAACACCCTTTATATTACAATACACATTCAACAACATTCTTATGTATGAAAAACTGATACAATCAAATCTCGAAAATTTTAATAATGCTATAGAATACGAATTATGAAATTTTTTTTAAATAAATATTTTTTTTAAATAATTATCTTGACTTTTAAATTAACCTCATATACAGTTTAGTGAACACACAGCTTTACAAGATTAATATTTTGAATTACACCTACACATGAATAAAGACCAATCATGTTTTCTTGTGTGTGTATACAAAAATTTATAAGGTTTTCCATTTTTAATTAAGAAAACAAAAAAAAAATACCATATAAGACCTAGTTTTTTTATTCCCGTTATAAAATGAAAGTGCTATTAGAAATTTCAAACAAAAAAAAAACAATGATGTAGAAACACGTTTTCTAAAAATCTCTTTCAAAGAAAATATCATTCAAAAAACAACAGCGTCTTTTAAATCACCGGAACTTTAAATTTCAGTGAAAAATTAAAAGGACAAAAGTAAGAAAATTAAATGAAAATTATTTAGTAAAAACACATAACAAGGAAATTCTATGACAAGCGTATAGCTTATGATTACAAAATTTCACAAGTACAATATACGTAGCTTTAAGGAACTTTAATCTAAAGTATTGTATTTGGTATTATGTGCATGTATGTGTCCGGAACCAACCTAAATCAACATTTTTTTTTTAATGTACAATAAGACTGTAGTACGGCGAATGAATTATAAAAATGTGTAAAAACACAACTTAACAGAAAAAAAAAAATAAATAAATAAAAATATATAAAAAAAAAATAAAAAAAACCCCTGCAGATAGAAAATGAATTGTTTATCACAGCGGGTCTATTCAAGGTATATTGACCTTTTTCTCTTAAAAAAATATTAAATGAGGGTTCCCTGTGTACAACTAAAAAGTGAAATTACGGTAAAAAAGAAACAGCTAATAATCTGTATATCTAATAATATAATGTAGTAGTGTTTGTAAATGTATACAGGCCTAGAATATAATCAAACACACAATTGTATACGGTATATTGTATGTAATATACTAATACGATATGTGTAGGAATGCTCTTCATTCATAAAATTTAAACAAGTTTTAAAAGGGAAACGGAAGCTAAATTTTTCACTATTTCTTTTTTTTTTTATTCTTGTTTTTCTAATATTATATATTTATCTATTTGTTTGTATTCTAAAATTATTTTATTTTGTGTCCTGCGTCAACAAAAGCTGACACTATCGCCTTAAGCTTTATTTACGTGCTCATATACTTTATGAAAATTTTTAACATCAAATTTGAACTAAAAACATGGGTTACAAAGTAGCACATTTTTCTTATACAAGTGAAAAGAATCTTAAAGAAAAAAAATTGCATACATTTGGGATGATTTTTACATTAAAAGATTATTATATTCCATAATTACGACTTTTAAAACTTTACCTTTTTTACAGAAAATATGTAAACAATCATATTACAGCATTTGATAGATTTTTATGGTTTCAGTACAGTTATTTAAAAAAAAAAAATTTCAAAGAGTACAATACTGAGATGCTTAGTTAAGAAAAAATTTTTTCTACAGACTAAACTAAACAGAACATGTAGGTATAAGATTCTGTAGGAGTTTAAAAATTTTGTAAATAAAACCATGGATGGGCTGACAGATTTACGGAATGAAATTATAATAGCATTTTTTTTCGATTTTGTTAGGAATGTCCTAAAAATGAATTTTATATAAAGAAGGAATGTTTAGTTTGTTATATAACCTAAAAAATAATACCAAATTCGAAAATAAGAAAAAATATTATACTGCTAACATATATATGCTGCTAGGAACATAAACCTATACATATTATGTTCGAATGTACATTATATAAATTTACAAATTTGTATATATTTTCCTACAAACATATTTAAATGAATATATGAGAAAAGAGAACTTAAATAAAAAGTAGATCATTTTTATTATTTTGTTTTCTTTTTGCTCACTTTTTCATCTTATTCTGACTTATTTTTTTGACTTATTTCAGACTAAATGAAACGTGATTTTGACTATTAAGTGTGGAACATAACCTCTCTAAATAAGGAAATTTAATTTATTTTCGTTATAATTCTTTCAACATATAAAAACGAAAAGGAAACATTTTAAGACATTTTCCTTCTGTAAATCAAATTATATGGCTATAATTGTATTATAAAGAAAAAAAAATATACAAAATATTTGTACTAAAAGTATGGAATATAGTAAAATTTTACGAAATATGTTGTTTATGTACACGTATTAAGTTCATTCCGAGTCATTGTAATAAATTATATTCCTGCATATACATATACATTAAATAATTTTTAAAGTAAAATCAAGTATAGTTAGACGTGAACCCATAAAATATAAATATGTACGAAATATAATATATATATATACGTACATAAATATCAAGTTGACAATAAATTATTGAAAAAAAACCTGAAAATTTATTGAAAGTGGTATGTAGATAACTGCATAGGTATATAGTATACAAAATTTCGAATTAATTGCACATTTATTTTAGTATTCTAGCAAATTAATGTTTGAAAAGTTTTTAATTAATATCATTAAACGAATAACATAAATATTACCGTTATTGATCACATTTTGGTACTCTAATGAAAGATTAAAATTCTTCAATACTGTAAGAACTAAAAAATTATATTTTATTACTATACAGTTATATATGTATATGTATTATATACAATTTTATTTGTATCGAGCTTAAGTATAGGTACGGAGAATCCGTTTAAAAAAGTGGTTTGTAAATTAAAGGCAGTAAACCAGGCCACTGAGAATTTATATTAACCAAAATACTTTTACAAATACAAGAAGACACCAAATTTTGCTTATCGAGTTTTTGATTGAAACATACTTCTCCATTGTAGGGAAGTGTTAATAAACAATTTTTAGAAAGATGTCAGTCTGATCTGTCGGTATTTTGTGTGCACGTATATATGTCTAGTTTGGCTGAACCGATTTTAATAAAATTTTATCTTACATTTCTATCTTACATTTTTGCGTATGTAATATCAAGAGAATTAATCAACCAATTTTCTTGAAATTTAATATATCGCTGGCAAAACTGTGATACCACGTAAGTACAAATATTTCCAAAAGTACTTTACCAATTTTCTGTTTAGGAAATGTCAAACAATCCATCTTTTATTAGGATTATTATTGCAATTGTTGAAAATTTTGAATTTTTCGAAAATTTCATTTCTACATTATGTAAGCATTGTTATAAAAAATAGATAGGGGGAAAAAAATTATTTTTTACTCGTAGTTATAATAAAAATTCCTAAAAATAAATAAAAGATACGAAAAAAGTGAACAAATTATACGACTATTCAAACATCTCCTTGTTTTCGAACATATTTTCTTTGCGGTTGTGACATCTCTTAAAAAATTAATAAACTTCACTTAAGAATTAATTAAGAAATGAATTTTCGAAAAAGACTGGAATAAACTTTGAAAGACAAAACATAAACGGTTAAAAATGTGATACGCAAATTTCTACGACACTTACGATCGTCTCGGTTGAATGACAACATTGTTTAAAAAAAAATGTTTTTTAATGTTTAAAAGAGTATAAAACC